ATTCAGTCACTCAGATTTGGTCAGAACTGAACTTTTTACTGCTGCCAGAATATGAATCGCTGTCTGATTTTTTATTTATTTCACATTGCTGATTGTGTGGTGGCAAGGAGGCTTAGTTCGAAACTCCAAAAGGATGGTGTTTCCATTGCAGTCAAGTCCTCCAGAGTAAAAACAAAGCTGAAAATTCAATTTTCAATGGACCAGCTCTCTACACAGAAAAAGAAAGGTTGCGCACCAGCTGTCATCCAATGAGATTTCCTAACTAACTGACTATATATGCAAATAATCAAATACGTTGTGCGCTATGGTATGATTAGGTAGCTTGCAAAACAATATATTGATATACAGATACTATAGAACAGGGGTAGACAACCTTAAAGAGGTGAAGTTCTACCTGAACAACATGGGAAAAGTCAAAGATCACTGAGCACAGTGTTGCCACCTCACACCTGATTTAAACCTCTAATTGCCATATTACCATGTCACAATCACATGCATTGCATGGCAATCATGGGTTTAAATTAGGTGGTGAGGAAGCAACATATCACCTCCTCACCACCCGTCAAACACTCAGATTGCTTTTCAGAGGAGCAGCAATGCCTGCTGCACTTGTGAATGAGTCCTTGGTTACATTCAGCAGCAGCACCCTAATTCACACATAACAGGGGGGTGGGGGTAAAAACCCTGCGGCTGAGTCGCAGTTTTACTTCCCCCAATCCCTACCCCCTTTAGCTGCTATGGCAACAGCCAAAGGTGTACACATGCCGCAGCAGAATTTAAACACCCTGTTGCTTTTGGGCCACTCTGTAAGTTCCCTGAAACCACATGCTTCTGCGGTTTCCAAGGGGTTAAAGCAGGTGGTGAAAAAGCAACACAGTGAGGCCTACGTTAACCCCTTGTTTGCTGTACTGCACAAGGTTGCAGGGCACTTGAATGGGTCATGCTTCGCAGGTGCTACACCCACCAACCATGACAGGGCGTATAACTCCTGCTACAACTGTGACATGTGTACACCCCTGGCCACTGCAGCTTAAGGGGTGCGGTTGGGGCAAGGTGGTAATAATACATCTTAACTAAGGGGTTTTAGCACCCCCCAAACTGCAAATGTAAATGAACCCTTACTGTTGTGAGCCCCCTCTAAGGCTACTTTCACACTGATGTGCTGCGGTTTAACAGCAAAGTGGTTGCAGCCCAGTGCATCTGTGACTTTCCTAGGTTAGCTGTGCTTTACCATAGCCTAATATATCCTGCAAGTGTGCTGCACTTTACCATAGACTTCTATTACATCCTGCAGGTGTGCTGTACTTTCTGAAATTGCACCAAACTAGCAGTATATATTAGAAGTTTATGGCTAAGAGCAGCAAGCCTACAGGGAAGATACAGGTACAGTGCACTGCACCTGTAGCTTCCCTGTAGCAGCCCTACAGGGCCCTATACTATTTTGCCCAGCGTATTGCTTCACATTGACCTAAAGGTCTTTCCTGCTGCTGGCACCACTCTGGAGCCCACTAGCCAGGATAAGAGGTGGAGTGCAGATGGTATACCTCCGCATGGGACAAGAACCAGCACTACAGAGGAGACATCGGCTTGCTCTCTACTACAGATCCAACATTGCAAGTAGTTCCACTGTATTGCACTCTTTTTGGGATGGCAGGTCAGCAAGCCCAGACTAGATCTACCAGCCACCTAACCGTGATTTCCTGGTAGATTGCAATCTACAGGTTGCCAACCCCACTATAGAGTCTAATGTGGGTAAGTATAAGTATTTTCAACACCAAAGAAGTCCCAAACAAATCAAAATATCCAGTATACTAAACAATACACATCGATCGCATTACCAAAGATAATCAAAAAATGACAAAAATCACACAAATGAATCAAGTGTCAAACTGTACAGAGTTAAATCCACCTAAAGATATGCTGTTGGCCGAAGTGCATAGGGAGGAGTGCTGATGTTAGTGCTGATGTTACGCTGCTGCTTATGTGTGTTAATTGATTTTACTTTGGATATTTTATATGTACCTGCACAATTTTTAAATAAATACTGCACTATGGCTTTACTTTATCTGTTTTTGTGGTGAGCTCCTTTGTCACAGTGTTGTGTGGGTTTGCGGCTTCCCTTGCTATCATTTAAAGGCTATATAGAGGTGTTGCCTTTTTTCTAAGTCTATGATGACAGAGAAGGAAGGAGAGAGCTGAGGCTAATGAATTGAGCTGGCTGGGATGTATTATTTATAGCTAATACTTCTGATGAGTTTGCAGTCCACTAGAGGGTGTGGGGTGGAAACACTGAAAGTTTTTTCAACGGTTTGCACATGGCGGTGGACACATTTTATTATGAATTTTTACTGCACAATACGATTAGAATATTTATATGACATTTTGTTTAATATTGTTGTTCATTTATTTGCCGATTTATTTGGATGTAATATTTCATATATTGATCACTATCCTTAATATCTTTATTGGCGTTTCACATCTCTTGTTAATTTCACTAAGGCTTGCGCACCAACCTTTTTTTTGTTAACTGCCTTCTCCACAAATGCTGACCATTTCTATTCATTTAAAGTGACTCTAGTTTGCGAGTGCTTCTTGTGGTCTATCCCTCACTGTAGCTAGAATGACAAATCATAAGCAAATGGCATCAGTCCTGGAACCCCAACACTCCTCAGAGTCTATGAGTCTTCCCTAACCCTTTCAGGGGTAACTGCTTCATCTTTCATATCTTAGGAAGAAATGCTCTGCTACTTTTTGTTAATTTATGGGAAAAATTACAGGATTGTTAGCTGACTTAGAAGCTTCATGTGTGCTTACATCACCTCTCCTACAGAATCCATCTGTGTTTTCCCTGGGACTGCAGTTGTTTTTAAGAATGAAGGGGGCTGTACTTTACCCTGATTTGAGAAGTTGGTACGGGGGGGGGGGGGTCTCAGTCAGTCTGCAGATGCCTAGACTTGGAGCTACCTGCGTCAGCTATATCAAACAGCATAACCAAACATTTACCCAGCAATACCCTATTAAGGAGGAGTTGTTCAATGGTGGGTAAAGTGGGCCTCCCTTCTAGCCGACCCAGCCATTTCCTGTCTTGATAAGACTCTAGCTCTACCTGTAGAGGACATCCCAGTGTTTAAAGACCCTGTAGATAAAAGGCTAAAAGCACTTTCTAAGTCCTTATTCGCCTTCACTTGCCCTGCCCTACAACCCGCTATTGCTGTCTGGTCCAAGATTATGTCTTGGGATCCTGGCTGTATACTGAGGGATCCTTCTGTCCTCCAACAACTGAAGCTTGTGCCTGTGGCTCCACTCTACTTTGTTGATGGGCTAGAAGATATAGTACATTACACCAAATATCCAGAAAGGGCCTCTTTTCAGTACACATGTAGAGGACCCTTTAGTTTAAATGATAGTCTATGAAACAGCAGTGCAAAAAACACTTCTTACTTGTGCCCTTTGATGTAGAATGCCTTTTTGGCAAATCCCTTGACAAATTTATCAAGAGGGTCACTGGGGGGAAGAGTACTCTTTTGACACAGAAAAAAGAAAGCAAAACCTCAATCTGGAAAGCCCTCTACCTTTGCCACTCAGAAAAGTTGATTTCTCTAAGGCCAAGACCATAGTCCAAGGCAAAGCATGAAACTGTCATGCCGTACGTCTTGGACCATCAAACTTGCAAACAAGTCCTCCTCACAATTAAGGGCCACCCCTACTTGTCAGAGTTGGGGATTTATCGGTTTGCCTTTGCGACCATCTGTTCCGAAGACACTTCAGAAGAGTTGTATCCAGAGGCTACAGGCTGGAATGTTGGTCTCTGCCTCTGCTCCACTTCATGTTGTCACACTTGCCATCATCCCCACAAAGATTGGTGAAATTTCACCCTGCTCATAATTCCCAAGGCCAAAGGCTTTACATAAATTCTGATCATTTAAGCACCCCTGCCACAGTTAAATGGTCTGTCTCATCTCTGTAACTGCAAGATATAGGTTTTTTGATGAAAAACAACATACTTACTGGCTGGATCTCCAGATGAAAATATAAGAAAGAAAGCTTAAAAAGGGAAACTAATACAGCCACCACATCTGAGAATTGGTAAGCTGCAAAATAATAAATGTTTGCTTTTGGGTGTAATGCTGCTTTAACCTGTAAAGTGCCCTACTCTGTGCTAAACAGAGACAAGATTGTCTTTAAGATCAAGGCCCTTTTTCTTCCCAAAGTAGTTTCTTCATTTCCCCTTTTTTTGTTCTTCCTTCTCTAAGTTCTGCTCCACAACATCCAAAGGAGATTTCCCACAATTTTCGGGATGTGGTACACACTGTTCATGTCTATCTCTAAGCTAGAGCTCAATTTAAACAGTCTTACTTTAATTTTGTCATTACTGAAGGTCCCCATAGTGGAGAACCTGTTTCTTGGTCCACTGTCTCGGGTGGATTTGGCTCATCATTCAAACATATGGACTTTAGGAACAAGATTCCACCTTTCCCTGTCAACGCGCACTCTGCAAGATCAGTGCTTTTAGGGCTTTTTAGAAGCAAGCATCTAGCACTTGCGTCAGCTACAAAAGCTGCTTATAAAAAAAAAATGGAGACCAACATAACTCTTTGCACTCTTTGTTATTAACATTGCATCACCCTGATTTATTTATCTGGTTCTAGGTTGGAAATTTTATTATAATGTAGGTTGAATGTTAACTGTTTCTTTGATTCTTTTGCTTTTGCTCAACATAATTATTATTCATCAGACATAAACGGTTTGTATACTTGTATATACTGTATATCTTTAGTCACCTTATACACAGCTTTTCTATATTGATTTACTCCGTTTTCCCTCTTCAGAAAAGCTCTGTTTGGGACTGTATGGAACGATGTCATGGCACACCATTGAGTTAATGCATGTTACATCATTTGTCACATCATGTATGTCATCTGTTATTGTTTTGTTACTTTGTCATATGCAAAAAACTTGATGCAGTGACTGGAAATTGTATCTACTTTTGTATATTTTAGTGTCAATAAAATGCAGCAAAATGAAGTCTAATCTACAAGAAGCTGTGCAGATACTGTCCTCAGCGCGTCTTAATCTTCGTGGTCTATCATCTAAAGCAAAGGTTAGTTCAATAGAAAAAGTTTACAACTTTATTCTATTTGAGAAATATATTTAGCCTTTTTTATCTTCCCAGGGGATCCATCAGCATACTAAATGGAAGAAAAAAATTGTTGAGGGAAAAGGGAAAACAGTGACGAAGGCAAAGAATGCCTGGGTCAAGCGGGTCCAAGAGAGGTCAAACTACGGTTTGTAATAAAAATAATGTATAAATCTTTAATTGCAGTAAAAAACACGAATCAATGCACATGATAAAACAGAACAATGATGAAAGGAGAGAACCTCACCATAACCAAAGAGAAAAATGGAAGAGAATGTGATGGTTGTCCAGGGTGACACCACGCATGCTATAGTCCCAACACCAAAAAGGGGTTATTGGAAACCCAGATGAAATAGGTGTGAAGTATGGGAATATAAATTTCTCTTCTACAGTCTTCTCTGGTACTATCCCTTTTTCCCATACTTTACACCTATTTAATTTGGGTTTCCAATAACTCCTTTTTGGTGTTGGGACTATAGCATACGTGGCATCACCCTGGACAACCATCACATTCTCTTCCATTTTTCTCTTTGGTTATGGTGAGGTTCTTTCCTTTCATCATTGTTCTGTTTTATCATGTGCATTGATTCATGTTTTTTTACTGCAATTAAAGATTTATATATTCTTATTACAAGCCGCAGTTTGACCTCTCTTGGACCCGCTTGACCGGGGCATTCTTTGCCTTCGTCACTGTTTTCCCTTTTCCCTCAGTTATGTTGGGGCCCTGAGGACACCACATGGCCATTTCCATGTGAGTCGGCACTATATATACAGTGGGGCAAAAAAGTATTTAGTCAGCCACCAATTGTGCAAGTTCTCCCACTTAAAAAGATGAGAGAGGCCTGTAATTGGCATCATAGGTAGACCTCAACTATGAGAGACAAAATGAGAAAAAAAATCCTGACAATCACATTGGCTGATTTGGCTGATTTGGAAGAATTTATTTGCAATTTATGGTGGAAAATAAGTATTTGGTCACCTACAAACAAGCAAGATTTCTGGCTCTCATAGACCTGTACCTTCTTCTTTAAGAGGCTCCTCTGTCCTGCACTCATTACCTGTATCAATGGCACCTGTTTGAACTTTTTATCAGTATAAAAGACACCTGTCCACAACCTCAAACAGTCACACTCCAAACTCCACTATGGTGAAGACCAAAGAGCTTTCGAAGGACACCAGAAACAAAATTCTGCACCTGCACAAGGCTGGGAAGACTGAATCTGCAATAGGCAAGCAGCTTGGTGTGAACAAATCAACTGTGGGAGCAATAATTAGAAAATGGAAGACATACAAGACCACTGATAATCTCCCTCGATCTGGGGCTCCACGCAAGATCTCACCCTGTGTGGTCAAAATGATCACAAGAACGGTGAGCAAAAATCCCAGGACCACATGGGGGGACCCAGTGAATGACCTGCAGAGAGCTGGGACCAACGTAAAAAAGGCTACCATCAGTAACACACTACGCCGCCAGGGACTCAGATCCTGCAGTGCCAGACGTGTCCCCCTGCTTAAGCCAGTACATGTCCAGGCCTGTCTGAAGTTTGCTAGAGAGCATTTGGATGATCCAGAAGAGGATTGGGAGAATGTCATATGGTCAGATGAAACCAAAATAGAACGGTTTGGTAGAAACACAACTCGTCATGTTTGGAGGAGAGAGAATGTCGAGTTGCATCCAAAGAACACCATACCTACTGTGAAGCATGGGGGTGGCAACATCATGCTTTGGGGCTGTTTCTCCAGGACGACTGATCCATGTACAGGACAGAATGAATGGGGCCATGTATCATGAGATTTTGAGTACAAACCTCCTTTCATCAGCAAGGGCATTGAAAATGAAACGTGGCTGGGTCTTCCAACATGACAATGATCCCAAACATACCACCCGAGCAACGAAGGAGTGGCTTCGTAAGAAGCATTTCAAGGTCCTGGAGTGGCCTAGCCAGTCTCCAGATCTCAATCCCATAGAAAACCTTTGGAGGGAGTTGAAAGTCTGTGTTGCCCAGCGACAGCCCCAAAACATCACTGCTGTAGAGGAGATCTGCACGGAGGAATGGGCCAACATACCAGCAACAGTGTGTGCCAACCTTGTGAAGACTTACAGGAAACAAAGGATATATAACAAAGTATTGAGATGAACTTTTGATATTGACCAAATACTTATTTTCCACCATAATTTGCAAATACATTCTTTCCAAATCAGCCAATGTGATTGTCTGGATTTTTTTTTCTCATTTTGTCTCTCATAGTTGAGGTCTACCTATGATGCCAATTGCAGGCCTCTCTCATCTTTTTAAGTGGGAGAACGTGCACAATTGGTGGCTGACTAAATACTTTTTTGCCCCACTGTATGGGGGCCACTATTCTGTCTATTATATATCATTTTTGACCCTCTTTCTTATTATAGTCCATATTTGGTAGTGTCCCGGTTATCCCATTTTTTTACAAGAAAAAGATTGTTGATTGTAAGCTCACAAATTATAAATTAGATAACAGCTCAAACATGTTGCTTTCAAGTTAAAGTGGTTGTAAACCCTTACATATATCTAGTGAAGTGACTGGCCTCTCTCACAGAGATGAAACAAATCCTCCTATATAAGTTATACCTGTCTACCTGAAGTCTTCTCTTTTCTACATCCATTCAAAGTCCAGAACAGATAAAGCTGTCTGAGTTGTTAGAAAAAAGGGGGGGGTAGAGACCTAATTGGAGGGAAGAGACACACACCGCTTTACACAGCTCACAGGAACAGATCAGCTGGAGAACCATCTCATCACCATTTTTCTCTTGGTGTCAGAAAAACCTGTTAGAAATGATTCATGCCCGGATGCCAACAATTGGGTACCATGGCCCACATCTGGTGGACTTGCCCTAAAGTGAACAGACTATGGATTAGGGTGTATGCCCTCCTTCTCACTATGCTTCACACAGACATTAAGCGTAATCCGTATGAAGCGCTTTTATTTAAACCATTGGAGGGTCTCCTCCGTTCTGAACGGCAGCTGGCATCACACTTATTTTGCAACGAAGTTGACAATTGCGAGAGCTTGGAAAACTCCTCTCCTTAGTTTTGAAGCTGTCAAAAACCGGATGAACTTCATAATGGTTAATGAAAAACTGACGGCCATATTGTTGGATATCCATACAAAATTTCTGCAGATATGGCGTCCCTGGCTGGATATAGCTTACCCTTCGAGATTTGACCAGTCTCTTCTTTCGATATGAGGATGGATATTGCCGTGATTGCCTCGGAGCCCTTCTCAGGCTTGTGTTTTTTTTTTCTTTTTTCCTCTTCTCGTCCGTGTCTCTTTACTGTTTGTCTCTTTCTAATCTATTGTCCAAACTATCCTTAATCATACTCTACGGATTGAATTTAATGTTTCATGTGCTACATTTGCATCACTATCTAGGTATATGAAACACTTATGTAAATCTTTCGACTGATGCCTCTACCAATGCATGAATTGAACTGACTTCCATTTATTCAGTACAATTTATATTTGATGGTCATTGTATCTGTGATCCGTATGTTTGTTTATTTTTGCTTCATCTACAATAAAACCCTTTGTAAAAGAAATGATTCATGCCCATAGCAGAGGAACAAAACAGCAGACAGAAATGACAGTTAGTGCTCTTAATTGAGACAAGTACACACTATAGAGGGATATGCTTTGTTAATATTTCGTGTCTGAGGTTTACAACCACTTTAAGTGATATCCATTTGCCATCTCAAGCTCTTCACTAAAGCAAATTGTCAGGGTTCCAAAGTTTCAAACAAAAATTACTGGATAAGATCAGGGAACAAGACCGCACACTTGTATTTTTTATGCTACTGCCAAGAAGACCTTCAGTCATGGGTATATTTGTTAAAAGAAGCCTCGACTTGTCACACTCTTCAGAGATAAGACTAACCCCTGCATCCCTATGTCAGTGAAAATGCTTCAGTAGTGGATAGCACTTTGAGAAAGTGGGAGGGTGGTGGGGTATAAAACTTCAATTGGTGAAGAAAGGGGGCTTCTAGGATTCACAAAATAGATTTACAGTGTCTTGATGAAATTTTCCACAATTTGTCATGTTACAACCAAAAATGTAAATGTATTTTATTGGGATTTAATATGATAGACCAACACAAAGTAGCACATAATTGTGAAGTGGAAAGAAAATGGAAAATGGTTTTCAAATTTTTTTTACAAATATCTGAAAAGCGTGGCGTGCATTTGTGTTCAGCCCCCCAAATCAATACATTGTAGAACCACTTTTCCCTGCAATTACAGCTGCAAGTCTTTTTGGTATGTCTATGCCAGCTTTGCACATCTAGAGAGTGACAGTTTTGCCCATTCGTCTGTGAACAGCAATTTTCAAGTCTTGCCACAGTTTCTAAACTGGATTTAGGTATGGACTTTTACTGGGCCATTCTAACACATGAATATGCTTGGATCTAAACCATTCCATTTTAGCTCTGGCTGTATGTTTATAGTCTTTGTCCTGCTGGAAGGTGAACCTCCGCCCCAGTCTCAAGTCTTTTGTAGACTCCAATGGGTATTATTCAAAGATTGCCCTATATTTGGCTCCATCCATCTTCCTATCAACTCTGACTAGCTTCCCTGTCCCTGCTGAAGAAAAACATCCCCACAATATGATGCTGCTACCACCATGTTTTACAGTGGGGATGGTGTGTTCAGGGTGAAGGTCAGTGTTATGTTTTCTGCCTCACATAGCGTTTTGCTTTTAGGCCAAAAAGTTCAATTTTAGTCTCATTTGACCAAAGCACCTTCTTCCACATGTTTGCTGTGTCCTACACATGCCGCCTTGCAAACTGCAAGTGTGACTTCTTATGGCTTTCTTTCAACAATGGCTTTCTTCTTGCCACTCTTCTGTAAAGGCCAGATTTGTGGAGTGCATGACTGATTGTTGTCCTGTGGACAGATTCTCCCACCTGAGCTTTGAATCTTTGCAGCTCCTCCAG